CTGCAGTTTCACGTAACATAGCACCTGAGTATTAACAGGGTACAAACCCTGATGGAAAGATGAGGAAATGGAGACTAAAAGGATAAATAACTTCTCTGGGGTCCCACAGAGCTTGCTCTAACCATGTTTATACACAGCCCTTTGCCTGGAACACAAATTCATGGAACTTGTCACCCCAAGCAATAACACAGACTAAAAATAAAATTGCAGGAACATATGTTTAAGATACATTTGAATATATGAACATACATTTGAGAATGAAATACCTAAGGGAGACTGAAGGAAAACCTAGTATCTAAAGTACATCCTCCTTTTGACCAAATCCTCTGAGGGACTATTCTTTGACATACATGTCAGGGACAGAACACAAGGGTCAGATTCTACCCAGGGTTCTTCTTTTCTTTTATTACCTGGCTGTCACCGGTCATTGATCAAATTTCTTAGCTCATGATCTGCCCCCTGCCTCTACCCAAATGTCCCTTTCCCCTTCTTCCATTTGCTTTTATTTATTCTTCACAATTTCAGTTAAAGCATCGCCTCCTTTAGAAAACTTCCTTTGAACCCCTGGTTTGATGTAAAAAGGAGGCTTTGTGCCCCAGCGCACCCTGGGCAGAGCCCTCCAGGTGGCCTTATCCCACAGCACTGTAACTTCGGCTTTGACTGTCTCTCCACCCCTTCAGCCCAGACAGTAAAGTCCATGAAGATAAGAACATTGCCTACTTCTTTTTTCCTCTTTCCTAAGAATGCTTTGCTTTTGTTTAGGTCTGTCCCTCCTGCATACAGTCCACATGACTGACTCAGGGAAAGCCACCTCTTTCCCAGTGGATCTGATTGTTTAAGCCAGTGGTTCTCAACCAGAGGCAAGTTTGCCCCTCCAAGGAATATTTGGCAAAGTCCAGACACATATTTGGTTGTCAGAACCAGGGTTTACTGCTGGCATCCCACTGGTAGAAGCCAGAGACATGCTAAACCTCCTGCAGTGAAAAGGCCAGCTCCCTCTCCTTCTCCCCACCCCTCGGCTCCATCAAGGCATTATTCAGCCCCAACGGTCAGTAGTGCTGAGGTGAGACGCTCTGGTTTAACTCAGAGTTTGTGTGACTTTTCTTCCTGTACAGTCTAGGGATAAATATATGCCCTAAGTAACCCGACTGAAGTGAAGGACTGATATTCCATGACTGGGAAAGAGATGGATGATAAAGTTAGAAAGTTAGATTGTGGGCACATTGTGGTGAGTTTTGAGTGGAAGGCTAAGTATGGTCTTTATCCTTACATGGAGCAGGGAGGTACCATGATTAGAAAGGTATTTCAGGAGAATGGG